GAATTTTAACACGCAACGTGCAAAACGTGGCGTGGCCGCATAATCGCCGCGCATCTGAATTCACGCGCAGTACATATATGCATATACGTATAGTTGCACATACATATACAATTCAATAGCGCGTCTTGTATCGACGCGCGCGGGAATTTATTCGATTGACTTGCGCTGGCTGGGTCGCTGAATGAGAATTCGCTTTGTTAATTTTATCGATCCCGCGCGTGTTCCGCAGGCGCTCTCTCTCTCCCTCTCTCTCTCTCTCTCTCTCTCTTTCTCTCTCTCTTTCTCTCTCTTGCATCGATCGCTATCGATCGTCGAACGCAAAGACGCAGGCGTTCCGCGCATTTAGGAATGTTTAAATTTAATAGGATACGCGATGTATATCGCGCGATAATCTTCTCGAGCGTATCCGCAAGCTTGGAGTATCCGTATATATGTCGCATGTAATACCAAAACAGCTTTCTGTGCGGAAATAAATCGGCGGAGATCAACGCGAGTGTGTTTCACCACAGCGATGTAAATAATACAGGCTATAACATATTCAAGAGATACGTGAAATATATTCAAGCTCAAAATTTTTATTATTATTTATAGTCAAGTTCCTCTCTATTCTCAGACGTCGATATCTAATAACGGGGAATAAATTATCAGTGTACGAATGTGCGACGGTATCGTTATTAACGTGTCTGGTCTGTAATGCGAACGGCGATTTCCTAACTGAGAAGTGTTCGCACGGAGCGAACGTCCGTCGCGCCTAAATAACGCGTCCGCTTGTCGGGGTCTAATTTCGCAGATAACGCGCGAGCCGCCGCGAACGTAATCTAGTTACTAGGCGTACAATCTAATCGACCGATTCGTATTATGTGTATGCATACCTGCACGTACAAACTACACTTCTATTCGTAGAATCGCACTAGCCCGCCGCGATAAAATCAGTTTGCCTTTAATATTATAAAACTGAGCCCGCGGCGCGTTACGCAACGCTCCCTGGCCTATCCTCGCATTAATTCGACTATCTGTTTTCGTCATGTTAACGCGTCTATATGCGCATGATAAGACTTCCTGTCGCTGACGGTATTTTTGACGATTCTGCGAAATATGATATTCGCAATAAAAAAAAAGAAAAAAAATGCCGCGATGGCTAATGCGATAGGTGTACACTGTAGAGACGTGTTCTAACTTGTTCATAGGCAGCAATTGGATAATAGTCATTTACGAATTTTATTTCGAGACGATTTTTCTGCCATGGTAATATTTAATCATCTTTTATTGCAATTCTTAATTTTTTATCATTCCCTGTCGCTCTTTTTCATAATTAAGGAAATATAAAAATTATTCATTTGCATATTTCACAGGCAGAGAATATATTTCGAAATATATTCTCTTCCAAGATTTCGTAAGATTTCCTCTTCTCTTAAAGGGGGATTATATTACATTATTTCTTATCACTTCGCGATTCGCGTATATCTTTTTTAACGGCATTCGCGCCTTTGAATCTCTTGAAAGGGACTAATTTCTATTTGCATAGAGCCACGTTAGAAAGCAGGTACGGAAAGATCGAGCACGATCATTTTACGATGTCCGACAATTCTCTCGGAGCGGAGAATCGAAGGACTGAAGGAGCAAAGAGGAATGGGAATAACGGGTGAGATTCAGCGTCCGTTATAGTTCAAGGAGAACACACCGTTACCGGATACATCCCTTTTCTCTCCAGTGCAGGTGCTTCCAAGAAAATTAACCGGCCATCGCCGTTCTAATTGCCTCGACGTATTAATGCTACCGTGCAAATACGCGACCAGACCGACTGTATTATAAATTAATAAGGGTTAGCGGTCATTTCGATAATGACCGGATCATACTTGGATGGTCGAATGCGCCGAAAGATTTTCCGTTTTAATCACGCCAAGAAGGGGTCGATACTCCAAGAATGGAGAAATATAACTCGTAAATGCACATGTTTGGTTACACGACGAACGATGTTAATATAAATTTGAATCGCATACATTTTTTTATTACAATGAAGCGGTAGAAATAAAGATAGAAATGATAGTTAAATATAGTAAGTAAAGTAATGAGTTGCAACACATGTTGATGAAACATATGAAATCAAGACAGCTTGAAAACCGATAAGCTTGGGAATAATACGGCAAGCTTGGATATAATACGGCAAGCTTATTTTGAAAGCTACGAGGCAAAGCGAATCTTTATAAAGAATTAATTTACGAGTATGTGTGCGAGTACTCGCGTTATATTTACATAAGGAGATTTTCATAAGTAAAAAGGAAATGTAATACAAAGGAGCGGAATAGACCAAACGTAATAGCGACTTCCCCGCAGAATTCTTACAATTTTTTTCATCTAATCGGATTTACCGAATTCTTATACAGTGCTCATAATCGGATAGGTATGATTGAGCGAGCGAGAGAGAACGAGAGAAAGTGAGGGAGGTGTCGTTATGCGCCCGCGCCCGCGTGCGCGCGCGCGCGCGCTATCGTAAATCGCGCGTTGAATTGTTCATGCGAGCTAAAATTACCAGACGCAAGCGTTCGCGCGATATCGGGATTGGACGGGTGACGGGTCTCAATCGTGGGAACAATATCGTTTCTCGCTGTCGACGAAA